CTCTCCCCTAACCCTAACCCCTCTGTCTCTATCTCTCTCATCCCTCTTCCGCCAATCTCCCCTCGGCCTCTATCTCCTCCCTCCCTCCCTTCCTGTCTCTGTCTCTGTCTCTGTCTCTCTTTTCTCCTTGTTCCCTCTCCCCTCCATCTCTTTCATCCCTCTTCTCCCACTCTCCTCTCCCTCCCCCTCCCTCTCTCTTTCTCTGTCTTTCCTCTTTCTTCCCCCCTTTCTCTCCCCTCCCCTCCCTCTCCCTCCTCCCTCTCACATCTGGAGTGTGACAAACATGTCCAGATCACAACTCCCCATGTGTTGTAGTCTGATATCTAGAAGTCTCTTTGACTATGGAAAACCATCATGAGGAGAAGCAAGAATGGATCTGCCTGTGAAAGATTAAAGGATAGGTTTTGGTGCCAAAACAGATTTCTGTCCTAGGCATGTGCCAAAAGACACTCTTGTTCCCCAGCATTTCCTTTTTTTCGTTTTCTCAAACGAGACAGAGTCACAGTTGGCAGTTGGGAGACATTTACATTTAATAACATTTTATTGCTGGTCTCATCAGCCAGATGTTTAGAATGGATATGGCATTTTTCACCTATTGAGTCCTTCCTAAAGGTCAGGCAGATGTTGTTTAATAAATAATATTAAAGGGATCCTTGCAAAGTGTAAGCTGTTCCAAGTAAAACTTCCTTTTGCAATTGACTGATGGTGGTTTTGTCAATGCTGATGGCATTCAAGTGGCACTCTAGATGTTTTGAAATTGCACCCCAAGTGCCTATCACTATTGGTACTATTTTTTGCTTTTTTTTGCTGCATTGATTCTAATTCTCACGAATGAAGGTGAATATACGTGTCGTATGTTTATTCTAATTGTTTGCACAAAATTTATATTTTGTGGTTTTCTCCAGTTCTTTCTCTTCCATTCTGCTGTCTCCAAGTACTGCCATACCCACTATCCAGACTTTTTTTGTCTTTCTTATCAACAATTCTTAAGTCTGGGGTGTTACATGGCAGGCATTTGTCTGTTTGCATTCTAAAGTCCCATAGTGCTTTAACTTCATTTTTATAACTATTTTGTGGTCTCACCAGTTCTCTCTTGAAGGCAAGTAGTATTTTTTGCACATATTCAAATGCACCATTGTTGCCACTTTGTCATGTTGTTGTTTTGTAAGTCAATCTGCGTGATCCTCTTGCAGCAGCTAAGTAGGTGTTCACTATTTGTTGAGCTTCTTTACAGAGGCAGCATTTGTCTTCTCAATTCTGGCTTTATCTGCATTTGTTCTTAAGGCTTGGTCTTGTGCAGCCAGAATTAGCCCCTCTGTCTCTTTCTTCAACTTTCCTGCTCTTAGACATTGCCAGGTCTTGTTATCTGCTTTGTTTTTTGTTTTTTTTAATGTAGAGGCCATAAGACTTACCTTGCCATGTGTTTCTGTTCTTCAATTGGTTTTTCTTATAAGCCAGTCTCATCTCTTAAACGCGCTTAGTAAGCCTTCCTGCTATGCTAGCTTCAGTGCATATTTTTCACTGTCCTTCAGATATTCTTCCAATGCCATCCCCCCCCCTCCCTTCTTCAAATGTTTGGCATACTTGCAACATTCCTTGCCCACCTATTTTCTTCGGTAAGTAGAGTCTGTCAGCGTCACAGCGTAGATGTAGGGCATGGTTTATTGTCATTATTTTTCTGATTTTCCTATCTAAGGCTTTTAGTTCTGCCTGAATCTACTCCACTGTTCCAGCTGTGTATCTAATACATTGTTGTTGAACTTTTTAGGCCTAGTTTGTCAAAAATACATTAAAAATGCCTAATTTGGCTCTGCTCCTCTGTTACCCTCTCCAACTATATTT